GAAAACAGATAAGTTTAAAATCTGTTTAAAAAAAATACTTACAAATTGATGATCAACTTTTATCTATACTTAGTAGCCATAATGTTCATTATAGAAATGTATTCTGCAGAATTCTTAGAAAACTAGAAAACTTTGAAGCATGCTCTGGTAGTTTTCTAAATAAAAATTAATAAATAACGTGTTTGCCATTCATGCAGTGACATGGCAAAACTGCATTTAATATATACATGCATATTTCTCAGAAAATCATTATTAAAAATTGATTTATCTAATACATAGAAACTAATAAATATTACAACTAGACAGTAGGAACTAGAAAGTAAAGATGAGTTCTAGGATTACCACCAACTACAAGCATGTGGTAACAAGTAAGAGTAATATACTAATATGAAAGTATATTGATAATAAAAATTACCAAACTAAAATTTTATCTAATTTGTATTTTTTCCATCTAAGAACCTAATAGTCACATAAAATATAAATTGATTTCAAGTAACGTAGGTTCATACAATTAATATGATGTTATACGACGAGTTGGGCGATGCACTCGCTTCCCCTAAAACCTTAGGACTAAAATAGATTTTTTTTAGAATGTTTTAATAAAGTTCTTACAGGATATACTGAATAATTAAATATCAGTAACTTTCATCGGTTATAACTTGTTACTAAATTTTTATTTTCATTTAATCACAATAAAAATTGTAGTTAAAAATAATTTAAACTTGTTTTCATAGTAAGCATTAAACAAAAAACAAAATTAATAAACCAAAAAACCGTTTTTGCAAATAATTAATAATCAAAATTTGACTTAAAAATATTGGCCTAATTCCAAACTATCATAAACTCCAATTTAATAAGAAGTTTTTATATTTTAGATTAGGCAAAATAGAAACTATGATATTATAACGACTCATCGTTATTAATCAGTAATCACCATTTCGATCACCATTTCCATCGAAGTTTTTAATATCCCATGACAGTGGTTAAATTCAATAAAATAAGCTCAAACTCCAACGTTTTGATGAACTAGGGAAATATTGTCTTATTTCCGTTATTACTGAATTAGGTTTGTAGTAACTAGAGAATGATTGTTATTTTATTATTATTATCTATTATTATTATACCATAGAAATATAAGTTGTCAACAAAAAAAAAATTTTAAAAAAATATGAAACATTCATAATATTTCCCGGAAAGTAATTAATATAATATACGGGGTTAAGATAATAGCGAATTACGTCATCGAATTTTGTTAATTATTTATTTCTGTACACACCTACGTCAAATCTAAATTATTCAAAAATAGACATAAAGCGCTATCTGTCGGGTATACGAACATGATAATGCACATGAAGAAATGTCCACTTGAGAGCAGCACTAAATAATAGTAAAGGATTTTGTTAATAGAGTGCACCACAATTCCGTGCACGAAGACTTAACGAATGTAATAAAATGTGCAAACAATGAATATAAAATAACAGGTACTAACAACTAATAAGTTTATTAACGAATAAAGTTTTCATATGTAGTTTAGCAGTTTACCAGTAAAACGTCCAATCATATTTATTTATATAATATTGTTATATTTTTATACTATATTTTCATAATATTTAATTGCGTATTACGGGAACTTTCAAAAAGGTATGAACTGCATTGTTGGGAAATTGATTATCGTTTCATAAAATGTGAGTGTATTAAACTTTATTTTTTTACACCATCGCCCGTTTGTTTGATGAAAGTGTTAAAAAGATTAAGTTAACCTGCCATCACATGGACATTAATGCATTATAAAAGTTAATCAACACCTAAATCCGAAGACCTCATTACCTTTAAGCGTTTGGGAAATCTGCCAACAAATAAAACTGGATGAAAGTTTTATGAATTAACACCGTTGAAAATGTATTAGTTTATTTACCGTACTTATTGTTAATCGTTTTAGTTCTATAGAGTGGTACAAAAGCAACTATATTATGTCATATTACTGTTGAGAGGTTTATGTGCAAATGTACATATAGGCTATATATGGCTGTATACACTACATTTGTAAACAATACCACGCTATACTTTTCAGATATTAAGTACCAATATAATCCATCTTAAAGAAAATTTATCTACCTATATGTTTAAATATAATATAAGACCATTGACAAAGAAAATGTATTATAATGTATAGGTACTAGGTATAGTATAGTATAAATCAAAAAGACATTATATAATTTTTTAATTTGTTTCTACATTGATGATGTGAAATTACATTATAATAGTAGCGTCGTTTCCGGCATGCAAGAGCAAATCTACACCGAAATCATTTCATAGATGGTCTTTATATTTTACAAGATGTCAAGATTTGTTATTGAAATTAATCCACTACCTTTTCAGCACAAATAATAACGTTTCAATATCTTAAATATACATTTTTTAAAGTTTAAATACTCCTGTACTAGATGCCTAGATATAGGTATAATAACTGAACATCATAAATACGTCGACATAATACCTATTTGAAAATTTTTAATTGAAAAAATAGTGATAATCTTTTAGCATCATGGGATAATAAATATTACCACAATATTACCTTACTACCGAAATTTTTTATTTTGACCGCCCTAAAATATTACCTATGGGCGGGCGCCCATGTTTAGCATTACATATGTACCTGATCGTTTTCACTTTATTAAAGAATTATTACCTAATACAACTATTTTTAGCAAAAATCAACAATATTTTAATAATATATCAGCAATCGCAACTATGATGTGTACTGGGAACTAACGGACGGACACCACGGGATTATAATAAGTGTTCTAAACATATGTTTGGAAACCTAAAAGGTGATGGATTTTTCAATTTCTATAAACATACTTTAATACTTATTATATTCTATCACAAAAGTTTTGAAAACCCGTTAATGCTGCCGTAATCAGATCGATTCGTTTCGGTCGCGATTTAACCAGCTGGCCTCGGAGATTTCTACGACCAAAATGATGCGTTTTGCGACTTTTCAGACGAGACTAGATTATTATACGGTATAATATTATACTGCATCATACTCTCGTATTATATACATGGATGTACCTATTTTTTACGTCACGCGCGAACACCAGGGCACCAGCTCGATGCTGCTATATGATATAGCTGTATATACTATATAATAATAATATACACTTGGGTACCTACATTATACGGGTTATAATTGCGGGTTAATGCGGGACCTTGGGTTCGACAGAACGCTGCAGCATTGGAGCAACCGTACAGCTAACCCACACAGAGATTCGTACGAGTGATAAATACGCAAAAAACATAATACATACCTATGATGCGTCCTCCTGTAACACATCACACAGTATAATATATCGCGCACAAAATATTGTAGAAGAGGGGCGAGTCGCTATATATATATACATATAATGTTATATAACAAAATACGTATAATAACGAAAAATGAAAAGAAAAAACCGTATATTCAGTCAGATTTATAATCATAGGGTCTATAGCGCGGCCGCCTCGACGTAAATGGCCAACGCACAAAAATATACACGGTACCTTACTAGGGCATAATATATTGTATTATTATATTTATATATGGCTTATATTGTTTTCGCCGCCGTCATCGGGGCGGAGGCGACGACCGCGACGTCGGTCGGATTTACTTTTGGCAATAATTTTATCGTCTCATCCTATATAATGTATATATATATATATATATATGTTATACGGTTGAAATTATTAATAATGTGTTTTCGCGCTGCAAGTATAGATCTTAGTCCCACTCCTGAGCCGTTGTTTCCCGTTTAACATCGGCAAATGCCAGACGAATCTATACTCTAGTACAGCGGTTCTCAAACTGTGTTCCGCGGAGCCCAAGGGCTCCGCAAGAGTAATCTAGGGGCTCCGTGGCTCCCTTATGTTATCTGTATTAATTAAATTCAAATTATTAAATTATTATTTTATTTCTTAGTTACATTTTTAATTTTTATACTTGTATTCATTATTATTTGGACCATATCAATATGTATTATTTTAAAGTTTAAAACTGTAAACTATTTATAAATCCACACATTTTTTAATAATCAACATCATTTTCTATAAATTATTGTTGTCTCAAATAGAAATTTCTGAATTTTGGGAGCTCCGTAATTTTTTTTAGGAACATAAGGGCTCCGTGAACAAAAAAGTATGAGAACCGCTGCTCTAGCTCTAGTAATAACAAAACTAAGCATTTCTCGATAACCGAAAAACGTTGGATGACGAAGGGGTCGGTTTTGATAAAAAAAACAGTTTTTAATATATATTTTGATGGTATATATAATATAGTTGAGGTAAGGTTTAACAATACGGATTTAGTGTTTCGCTGCATTCGTGTTGCAGGTGATCTACAGCAGGACAGTGATGGGATATCTACCACAAAATTTGAATAAATATACCAATAAAATTCATTATTTTTCATGTGTAATCAAAGATTATGGAAATTATAACGAAAATAAATAAATCAAATTGCCAAATAAAAATCTATCAAACAATAAATATAAATTGACCAATGTAACTAATACTAACTATGTTATTAAGCTTCCATTTCAATGAAATCCGGCCGTATCTACATGATCATAATTCATAATCAACTATATATAATAATATAATTATCGGTATATTCTGCGTAAATTCCTTACACCTATTTGTGTATCAATTATACGTATCTAACTAATGAAATATCGCTATTAAAAAATAAATGTGTAAGTAACATTTAAGCGAAATATTTATAAAATTTGATGATCAACCAATCACACTTAAAATAATTAAGGTATTTGATCACCAGCCACGTGTCTTTCAATAATTACCGCTAGCTATATTATATGAATGCCGTTGCAAAAAATTAACAATTATCGCGGTTTATGAAAAAAACGATTCTTACTATATCAATACACGTTAAATCGACCATCTTGTAATGTAATATTTTGCGTCCAACATAATATAATACAATTTTGTTCTATATAGGTACTCACCCACGGAGCGGCGCAATCGGCGCCCGACGACAGCGGCTGAAAAGCCGGCACGCATCTGAAAGTCATGTCAATCTCGTCGACCGCACGGCAACAGGTGGTGCGGGGGCTGGTGGTGGTGACGCTGTTTCGTGTTCGACTTTCGGTCACAAGTTACCTGCGAGGAAAACGTAAAAAAATTAAAATAACATTTAGCCACGTCCGCGCCACTATGCGACTATTTATAGGTACACGAGTGCATGTCGTTAAGTCGAAAACCCCGTAATTACGAGACGTCGTATATATAATATTAATATATATATATATAATATATATATATGTATATGGGATACGCCGTGGCTATAGAGTACACAGTATATATACTATATGTGTACGTTGTGGGTATATATATAGGTATAACGATCGCGCAACAACGACCGTGTACACGATATTATTATTATGATACATATTATAATATAATATAGCTTGGTCGTTGTATGCGGTACTTAATACGGTATTTAACGCGGAGATAATAATAATTAGCGAGTAGGAAAAACATATTTATATTATATACCTACGTAGGTACTTATATATACAGGTAGAGGTAGAGGTACCCCTGCAGAGATACCTCATCATACACGAATGTATAGCTGCGGTACATAATTTGGGTACGAAAAACGTAATGATAATTTATGTATATAATATACGAATTTTACTCGAATCTCAAAATTATGATGGTTTTCAAGAGGCAGTAATTATTATTATTGTGAACTGTGATATTATGTATGGTAAACCAAAGCACGGTTAATCTCGCGATACGATACACATTGAGCGTATGTGTGTGTACCTACGTTAAAACCCTCTATACGGATAATTATACCTAAAATATAATATTATGTACGTAATACTATGTAGGTACATGTATCGTCGCCATATACATTATATGTATATAATAATATGTAGAGGTTAATTTATTAATTATTAATAAAATTGGGGCGGACTAGCGTATGCAATTACTGTTATAACAGTTATAAAGGGAAAGAGAGAGCTGAGATGGCAGAATCCACGGACTAAGGAGGACATAATTAAATAATTGTCATAATATACCAGAATATACGGCTTTATATTATTATTATATGTAAGCAATATACATTTTACCCGAAAATCGATAAACCGTTTGCACATGATATGTTGGCAGTTGGCATAATATTCAAATATATTACGTAGTATACTTATTATACTATCTAATTTTGCACGTTTTATTTCATTTAATATATGTTATATTTTAATGACAGTTAGATCAGCGCATAAGACTGGGTCGATAAAACAAAGTTAAAATAATATACAAAGTACGTTCTGATATTATGCCATAATAGCTGAAGTCTACCCAACTTCACCCAAGAAAAATTGAATAATTAATACAAAATATACGATGCTATTAGGTGATGTATCTCGGTTTTGGTGCAGGCTTTTAAATTTTTTTTTTAAATATTTAGATAGATACTATTAACTAGTATACCTAATGAATACGACGATGTTATGTTAATTCGATTTAAGAATTAAAATATTAATGTTAATATTATATACCTATAAACCGTTTTCGAGCATATTTTACGAAAATTGTGGTACGTTCAATTTCGTGTGTGTAACTGTTTTCTAACATGTTGTGATAATAATACGCCTATATCAATTCTACATCTTGAAGCTGGGCGAAAAATACGCGGGGCACGCGTTACACTACACGTGTATAATATTCATAATTTATATTTTAAAATATGATTTCTGTCCATTCGTTTATTATCGACGTGCGTATGAAGTGTTTTTTTCCTATCCTTCCTTCTCCCCTTTTTTTTTTTTGTAATTAACGGGCGTACGTGAGCTCGGCACCGAATTACGCGCGCGCGTGATGTCGGGGGCTGGACCGAATATACTCGTATTATAGGTATACGTATTAGACATAATATGTATACAATACGCACGCCTGTAATAATAAATCGGCCATATATACGAGTGGTCAGGACATGTATACCTATTATAATATTATATTATATACCTATATACGCGGCAAAACGAGAAATATTTATAATTGCTTGTTACACACACATATACTTGGGCATTTCTGGAATTCAGTTCTCCGGTAGCCCCGGCCGCGGCGATCGTAATAATAATAATAATAATAATAATCATTTTTTTTCTCCCAATACAAGAGTTATTATTTTTACTTTACCGTCCGGCCGTCTGCAGTATACACTGCAGGTATATATGTATAATACCGACATTTTCGGTGGACCGTCCACATTCCAAACGGAGAAAAAAATCGAACAGGTAGGCACCTATGTAATATTATTATTATTACAGTTTTAATAACGCGCCCGTGTTCGAAATTAATGCAGCGCGGGTACATCGACGATATTAGTATGTTTAGTGTTTGTTTCCGAAGAGATTATTCGTTCGAAACAATCAAACGTTATATTGTAATTTTTTTCCTTTTTCTCTATATACCCGTTCGTATATATATATATATATATATATATATATATAGCTCACCAAGTATATAATACGCGACTAGTGTTTTAATAGTATTCAAGGCGCTTGTGTATCGTGCGCGGCGGTACCGAAACGATATCATTATTTTTTTTTTTTTCAAAGTTCCAAACGGATTGGAACGACGCCCGTTCCTATGTCTACATGTATGTATTTTTTTTCACCAGTCGGCAATAAAACGAAAATTATATATATTATATCATAAAGCGAGCACGCGTTTCCGACGTCTACAAATATATAAGTACCACATATAAAATCATCGGATTCGTCGTGGCCGGCGTTAGGTAGGTATATAGAGTATGATACCAGTGTATACCTGCTCGTGTATTATTATTATTATTATTAGACATTTTAAGTTTATAACGGTCCAGCAAACGCGCATCATCGCCACAACGCGCAGAGACAACTCGCGATGTATGTAATATAATAATGTATAGCTGCAGATTTACACTGGGAATACATGCCCAGACGTGCAGTCCTCAACGTTTGGATGTATACGGTTGTCATACACTACTATACTCGTGTTTAATAAGATTTGTTTTCAATAAACCTTAAAAACCCAAAAAATTTCGACATTTTTTGAATGTTAGAGGGGGGAGGTATTTCGTTTACCGGATTTTAGGTCAAAAAGGGATTTTAGGTTGGCATATATTTTTCTACGAAAATAGCTTTTTTACAGTCTGTAAAATTAAACGATTTTATTCCACTTGGTTTTTTTTTAATGTATGCGTCACCACTGTGATAAGACGACTGCAAAAATAACGCATCACCAGCAATAATATATTATAAAAGAAAATAGCGATTCGGTCGTTCATTCTCATCCGCACAAAACCTAAACGCGAATTTCTCTGCTCCACGAATACAACAAACTCTCTCGTTCATATTATATTATAATAGTATTATATTATAATGTATTAAAGTCTCTCGGAGATCGATCCGGTCTACTCTGTCCGTCGTGCTCAGCGCGTCAGCCTCTCACGGTATGCCCGGAACTGCAGACCCGAAATCCGTGGAAAGAGGACGACGAAACGAAAAAAAAAAACACACACTCGAACACAAAGCGGGTATACCTATATAATATATATATAGTGTCTCTAACAATACTAATAATTAGCACCCTATAGCGCCTGGGCATACAGATAAATACGGGTAAGTATGTGCGCGTTGTGTCAGACACGCCCCCCCTCCCCCATATACCTGGTCGAGCGGTCGGGGGGGGGGGAGGCGGACGAGGACATGAAACGCGCACATGAGAGGAGGAGTGCACGGGCGTATATCGCGAGCCGATCGAGAGACCGCGCGCCTGTCCGTCCGAGCCCTATAATCGCGCGAGCGTAGGTACTCACGGCTTGGTGTGTATACTGTTATCGGCGTCGGACCATCTCTAATTCTTATAATAATCATTTAACGCGGCGGCGACGACGACGACCTCTTTATATAAATCGTCCGGTTCGTCCCATTTATTATTATTATTATTATGTATATACACCCATATTTCAATATTCCGTGGTCTTCTACAGGTGTTCCGCATCGGACCGTAAAGGCAAGCGTGCGCGCGCACACTCACTGTCTCACTCACCAAATGTATAATACAATACAATACAATGTCTTTAAGAGTCGTATATGTATTATGTATATGAGTCGCATGGGTGGTAGGTATATATAATATTATAACGATGCTTATGACTTTTTAATGATTGTTTTGCCCGAAAACGTAATAACAATATAATATATAATAAACAATACTCTAAAAATAATAACACAGTGTTACGACGAGCCACTCTATCAGTGTACACCTCGACGTACCTGCAGTGTAATAATAATAATACACACACTTATAAGTATATATATATATATAGCTGCAACGGGCCTGCGCGTTACAAACGAGAGACAAAAGTAAAAGAGAAATTATATAAATCGTTTGTCAGGGACGTATATTATATTATATAGGTACATAATATGTTGTAGGAACCTCAGTACCTGTAACTTGTACCTAAGGTTTATACCTATGTTATAGGTATATAGGTACATAATATAATAATACATGTGACGTCTAGTCGCGCGCGTACCCGCCACTACTTTAATATACATTATGCCTACACCTTATGTCCTAATAAATATATATATACTGCAGATGCGTGCTGGCCGTTTAATAGAATGTAATTTCACGCGATCTATGGGGCACTGTTTTTTTCATTTTCCATAACGTAGTCGCGATTAGAGCAACAGGTTATACGTATGACTGGCCTATTCGCATGTATCAGACGCGCTGGCGGAACCTGCACTTGGACAGGGAAATATAAAAAATGTTATTTATGATGACTGCGATGCTCATCGTCCGCGCATGAGAATACTATTATACATTGCAGTGAATCTGTTTTGGCATTTACACGGTTGTCGGTTTTCTTTTTTCGTGTATTGAATTAAATAAACAAAATACGGCTCGTTACTTAAGTAGGCATACGTAGGTACGTAATATTTTATATTATATACACGCACAGAGTGGACCGCCTGTTGTAACCGACTTACCGTTAGGAATGTAAGCGAAAATTACGACGTTTTATTTATTACGAGATTTACGTGAGACACGATACACCGCATTATAATATAACACAGAAAACACGCGTTTCCATT